ACGCCCCGTCCGTCGTCGCTAGCCTCCGCCGTACAGGAGGGCGCGGGGGCGCATGACCCCGACGCGACGGCCGTGCCGTACCCCTGGCGGTGGGGCCTGTCGCGGAATGGATCCGTCGTCTTTTGGCCCGCGTAGCTTGCTAGCTACCGCGCGCGCCCATCGCGCGCGTGTCCGTCCATTTTGGCCAGCGGTCGGGACGGCGTGCGTATCGGTCCGTCCGTCGTCCGTCCCATGCACACGATGCCCGGACGGCCGGCCGTAGTCGCGCACTGTGCGGCGGTGTACGTATGTACCTACCGGCAAGCCCATGCGCTCGACGGCAGCGAGCAAGATGGCTGCGAGAAAAAGGTCGATCGATCGGTACTTGTCGCTGGTAGCGTCACCTCCACTAGCACTCATATGTAGTCTCACGTCCGGTTTCTCTCCCGTGTTGGGGCGGCCGGCCGGCAAGTACCAAGGGCCGGGCCGCCGGGGATGCATTTGGTGCATGATGAGGAATTGCACTGTGCGTGCATGTGCTGATGTGCTAATTTGGCCATGGTACGTAGCGTACGTTGTCTTTTAGTAGTATTATCGTTTTGAGATCCCTCTGTTTTTTAGCTAGCTATACTAGGTGCATCCTATTTAGCAGATATATCCTGCATGCAACTACTCCTACAACAAAATGTGGTCTAGACCAAGTTGTAGCTTAATTTTCCATATTTTGATAAGCCTCAAATTTATAATCAAAGTTGTTTTTTTTTCTAATAACTAATCAAAGTTGTATTCAGTTTGGAATTTTAATTCCTACAACATGCAGAATATATGGGTTTTTAACACTTTATTATATTAAATGCAGATCTAGGGCATATACGATCTATCTAATTGATGACCAGATCTTATTGTTTAGTGTGGGAGCTTCTAAATAGTTTTTAATTAGTATAGATATAGAAATTATAACTCATCTCACAAATAAGAGAATAATTGAAATTTGATATTTGTATCTGTTTTTCAAGTTTTCTTTAGTACATATGACTATGAGAGTATCGATATAAGGATACTTAATATTAGTGAGTAGGTATATAACTACCAACTAACATTGTGAGTTATATGTATATAATCTTCTAAGGACCAGATAAATCTTGACATTGTCGATTATATATTTTTGTGCTGATTAGTTTAGCTCTTAAATAGCGGGATGTATAACAAAGTTTAACTACAAATAGGATTACTGATTGATTGCCCTCATATGAGAGCTAGGCCCATGCAGAAGAAGTCTGGTGGTATAGGCCGGATCGTGTCCACACATCTAGTTGCTTCCATAACCAGAGGAAACTAGTTGAGAGTCGCCTTGTCCTCAAAACATAACACAAATTACAACACTAAGAAATGTGAAACGTGTGGATATTGCTTCTATCTTATCTTAATAAGAATTAAAAGCTACTTCCTTCATCCCAGTTTAACAATCATCTAAAATTTTTGATATCTTACTAAAATGATCATCATTTAATTAACAAAAGTCTTTTTGTTTATTTGTGTAAAAAGTAAATGGACATCGTTGAATACGTTACACGCACACAACCAACTAACATTAATTTCTATCGGTGCAACACTATGTAATATTTAAAACATGATACAGTCTATGGAACACAAAGTGATGGAGCATTTTGATCTATGAGAATTAAATTCATAGTGAATGAATGATGAAGGTTTTGTTGCCCTTGGTTTTTGGAGGGTTTTTTTCTCCTCTCTTTCGTTGCCCAGTCTCCTTTTCTGGAATACAAAGAGAAGTACCCATCTAAAAAATATATATACACCTAAAATTCAACTTAAAAACCACATTAAAAAACAAGATTACCTTTGACTTTTAAGAAAAAGCTGACCGTCAGGTTTTAAATCATGACGTAGCTTTGTGCTCACATGTGGATAGCTATGTGCTCGCGCTATCAGTTTTAGAGCACATACAAATCATGACGTACGAACTTCCACGGCAAAACCAAACCAGCACTGACTTTTAGAGCGAGTACAATAATCGACAGTGGACTGACGATATGGAGGCCACATCAACTGTCGTGATTAGCTGGAGGAAAAAGGGAAAAGAGAGAACATGAGCCGACGACAGGGTTATTTTTTTTTGGCGCTTTCGAAAGTTCACAATTTTCTTAATTTGATTAGCGGTCCGACCGTCAAGAAGATATTTTCTTACGGTTAGCCGCCAAGAAATCGTAATGTTTCTGTCTTTTTAAACCTGGCAGTCGGCCGACGGAATAATTAACCTTGGCAGTTTTTGACCGCCAAAAAAAATTACGGATTCTTGTAGTGAGAGCTTGATCCGACAGTTTTCACCAAGTTGCGGTTGCTGTATATGGTTGATAACTCATGAACATAACTCGTGGACCACGTAATCTGCTTGAGACATGCGTGGAATGAATATGCACACCCATCTTAATTAAAGCCTTAAAGGAGCTATATTTACTTAATTAGTGGTACTCAAAAGTTAACTTGTGAACACTATTATACGTGCAAATATTATTTTGGCTTGCATTTCATTTTTAACTGCCTGAGAACGTCTAGGGGTATTCCGGCTAGGTTCATAAGACGGTGGGCTAGACGATCTGGGTTCGAAGCCTCACCCATTCTAATTATTTAATATTAGGTTTTTTCCTAATATTCATTTTTTTTTTCATTTTTATCTGCTTACATATCTGTTGATTGCAATGGTCGATCCTCAGTCCTTTGTCTAATGGGTGAAAACTAGCAAAACTTTAGGGCCCCTTTGAATCGCAGGGTAGAAAAAACGGAGGATTAGGAAAAATACAGAATTATGACAGGAATTGAAGTGTAAAACAGAGGATTGCAAAACACAGGAAAAACACAGGAATGGTCGTTTGATTGGAGCGCAGGAAAAACGCAGGAATCAGATGAGAGAGATAGACTCAAAGGAAATTTTCCAAGAGGTTGGAGCTCTTGCTAAATTTCCTCCAAAATACACATGCAATGTGCCATTCCATAGGAATTTCATAGGATTTGGAAAGCTTAAATCCTTTGAATCAAAGAGCTAAATAGGAAAATTTACTATAGGATTTGAATCCTATGAAATTTCTATATAAATTCTTTGATTCAAAGGGCCCTTAGTGAAGACAAAGGTACATCGTCCCTGACTCCTGTCGATGTACAATTATGACCAATATAATCAGGCAAAGGTATATCCCTGACTCACATGCATGTGAATTGTGTCTCACAAAATTGTCATGAATTAATGCCAGATCTAATGATCTCTGAAATGCATCATGAGCAACGTAGTTTGATCTCAAGATCCAATTAATCGTTATTAGTGACACCTTTTTTTTCAGTGCAGGAGGTGAATATGAGTATTCGATCTTTTTATAAAATTAAAACTTTACTGATGCTCGTAGGAAAAAAAGCCCTTACATATACTTTCAGCTTGTTTGTGATATTTGGCCATAGTGAGAAGACCACGGTACAAACTTAATTAACAACACAGTATCAAGTTCAAGGATTTTAATGGACAGTTTTTTGGGGGGTTAATCCCAATGACCGTACCCGAAATTAATTTGATATGATGGGGGCATTTGTAAATTTGCCACTGTTTTTTTTTAATTTGTAAGGATGTCACTTGAATGATGGTTCTAGGGACAATCTTGCAGTAACGATTTAAACCAGTGATAAATTTGTAAGTGCCCCTAATTAGGTAGTACTAAACAGTTTAGTCACACATGTGCTTGCAGCTTGCCTAGTCTACTCTAAGCAAAACATAGACTTTCGACCGAAGGGTTAGCTAGGCAAGGAAAGTCTTTAAAAATAGCTTCAGATCCTGTTTAGAAGGGACTAAAACTTTAAGTCTCTATCATATCGGATGTTTGGATACTAATTATAAATATTAAACGTAGACTATTAATAAAACTCATCCACAATCTTGGACTAATTCGCGAGACGAATCTATTGAGCCTAATTAATCCATGATTAGCCTATGTGATGCTACAGTAAACATTATCTAATTATGGATTAATTAGGCTTAAAAAATTATCTCGCAAATTAGCTTTCATTTATGTAATTAGTTTTGTAAGTAGTCTATATTTAATTATCTAAATTAGTGTCTAAACAAAGAGACTAAAGTTAAGTCGCTAGATCCAAACACCACCAGGGGAATCATTCTATCCAAGATGTGTTCTAAACCTTTTAAAAGAAATTTAAAGCTCCCTGATTAATTACTACTCCCTCCAATTTTATTTGTTTGATGTTGGTTAGTTCATTTTTCAAACTAATCAAAAGAGGAAGGAGGGAGTATTTGAGAAGCAACCTGAAGCATATGTAACTGTGATTAACCCAACTCTATAATTCCTATCACATATTTATAAAATACTTAAATGTAACACTATGTGATTATTTTAAGAAAATCTAGCTTTTAGACAATTAAAATAAATCTAGCTAACGGAATATCGATAATTTACAAACTACCTAATACATGGTGATATTTGAGAATGAGTCCTACCATACATATATATACATGTCGTACGATTAGCATTCGACCGCGTCTCATTCACCAATCCTTGCGCTCAGCTTCTCTCCATGTAGATCTAGGAAAACAACAGTTATGTCTGTGTATTAGTTGAGTTGGAAATGGATCGTACCCATTAAATCATGAGTGCGTTCAGAATAGCTCACTGTGACAGCAGCAGCGCTGCATCTACAAGACTGTTTTTCGCGTAAACAAAGACTCAGTAAACAATTTATACTAGGAGGGATGCAGCGCTGTGGCTGTACAACCACAGTCCAGCTGAATCGAATAGACCCCATAGCCATTTCGTTTGAGAATTTGCTACTCCATGTTTATAACTCTAGTCTCACGTAGTTTTTTTTAAGGATAGATTCTAGTCTCACATAGTTCCATGGGCATCAAATCTTCGTATTACTATTGAAGAATGGCAAACATATATTGTCTGAAACAATAACACAGTATAACTTAAAGAATGCTCACCAAACTGCTTGCTCTGGATCTGTTCAACGGCCAACTTCCCCAACCTGCATATTCCTATATATAAGCTACAACAAAAGGTAATACAGTACAACATCGAGAAAAGGCTTAAGTGTAGCCATGCATGCATGTCTGCACCTCTTTGCTTATCCACCACTAAATATTTTATCTGGTTTACAGTTACAGTGATGGCACCCCTGTACATATATATAGTCCGCAAAAGTCTCACTGACATGAGATCCACTTGTCACTTAGAAAAAAACACGTGCTTGCATGCTCTTATTCTAAAACGAGCAATAATTCAAGTGAATCAGCAAGTGGACTTTGCTTAATCACACCGAATCACAATTGAAAGGAAAAATGAACTGCCAAAAGTAATAAAAGAAAAGAAAATTGCAAAGGTACTTAGCTAGCTAGCTAGCACACAAAATCGAAGCTATGTGTAACTGCATGACGACTGGGTACTGGTCTACTGATAGCTAGCACATATATAGGAGTAATACACAACACACATACTATATATTACCAGATGGAGGACGCTGCGGCGCACCGGCCTCTTGGGTCCATGTCGATGTGTGTTAAGTGTACCCTACCTCTCTCTCTCCTTATCTTGCCATGCATATGATTAATTCGGGCCGCTAGCTAGCTAGATGCTATAGTAGTACGTACTTAGATTTTATTAATTACCGCCCAGCTCACCAAGACACGGCGATCGGTCGTCGATCGATCGATGGATGCAATCGGAGCAAGCTGCTAGGGATCACGGTAGCTCCACAGGCTCTCGCCGGCCTCCGACGGCTCCGGCGACACGTCGGAGGTGGTGGGGCTCAGCCTCGGCGGGCTCATCATCATGCCAGCCGCCATGTTGCGCAGCAGCTGAGGCAGCTCGAAGATGGCTTCTTCGTCCATGAAATCGTCATTGCCAATCCCTCCCTCCATCGGCGGGTAGCCTGAGACGTCGTCGGCGGCCGGACTGCCACTGCCGTACTGTTGCTGCTGCTGCTGCTGGTGGTGCTCCGCTGCGGCGGTGGCAGGATAGGCAGTGCCGGTGGGGCCGTGCGGCCGCTCAAGGTGCGCGGCGGCCGCGGCTGCTGCGGCCGCCGCGGCGCGTATGTCGGCCGGGGATGCGGACGCCGGGACAGGGCGGGAGGCGGTGGCGCCCGGGAAATTGAGCACCGCGTCGGCCCCGCGGAGCGCGCGCGCGGCCACGTCGTAGGCCGCGGCGGCCATCTCGGCGGTCGGGTACGTCCCGAGCCATATGCGGCGCGCCTTGCGCGGCTCGCGGATCTCCGAGACCCATTTGCCGCTCCTGCACCGGATGCCCCGGTAGAAGGCGTGCTTCCCCGAGGACCGTGGCGACGGCTCGCCCGAGCTCGCCGTCGTCATCGTCGACGCCGTGGCTGCCCCGGGCGCCGTCTTGTCCCCTTGCTCCGACGGTGAATGAGGCGAGGCAGGACCCGGAGAAGCCGCCGCCGGCAGGCCAGCTGTTTGCACTTGAGGAGGAGCAGTCGGCGACGGATGCTCGGTCAGGTCAGCCATGTACCATTAGGGCACACCCATCGACATATATACACCTTGGGATGACCTATATCCGCCAAATTAAGCTACAGTGCACCTACTCCCCCCTAGCTATGGCTGCTGTACCAAGAGAATATCTGCCGGCCAGCTGCTAATTAAGCTAGTATGCGTCTCAACACAATCGAACCTAGCTTGCAAGAAGTCGATATGATTATGCAACAAGAGGGAGATAGAGAGAGTATAGATAGGGAAGGGAAGAGGAGATCGAGACCAGCAGATGGCTAAACTAGTAGGTGTCATGGAATGCACGAGGGGGATGGGGGCTATATAAGGGGCGGTGAAGAAGCGGGCGAGAAGCGTGAGGTCCGCCATGGTGAAAAGATCTCTCGAGGTGGACGAGCAGAGGGCCGTGCTAGCTAGCTTAGCTGCAGACGAGGAGGCGCGCGGCCGGGGATGAGGAGACGCGTAATTTGAGCGGGGAGATGGATGGATGGATGCGTATGCTTGGCTTGCGATGAGCTGGTGCCTGGGGAGCAAAGCCGCACAAGTGGTGAAGCTAAGTGGCGCCACCTACCTAAGCTAAGCTATAGCAGCATAAAAACCACTTACTACCGGTTTGCTTAATTAGCCTGGCTGAATCCTCTGCTTCTTCGTCTTATCTTCGCGGGAGCAAACGCGGGGGTGGCGCCGTCGCTGTCTTCCGCCTCGATTGCCAGACTAGTACTCATGGCCCCCAGTAGTTCAGTTTTTAATTTCGTGGGTTCTAAATTCTGATTAGCCTCCTACACAATTAGCGAGTGTGTGATTGGTGGTAATTCCCGTTGGTCGCTGACGCGAGGAGAACAAGAGATACGTACGGCCGGGCCCAGTGATTGGTGGATTTCCGGTGGCCTGCCAAGTGGGCCTCTCATCGGCCATAGCTTTTCTTCGCTTTCTGCGTCATGTATCTGGCTGCTTCGCCGAACCTCTGCGTGGCCGCGCGCAGTTGATCATCAGAACTAGTATCTCCCTATACGCTTCGCGATATCGGCGCGGTGTTAATTTCAGACCGGGGCTTTGACAAAGTTTCTCCTGCTTCTGTTGGAATGAACAGCACATGCATGCACCTGGGGTTGGTGCCCAAATCCCAAATATAAACCTTAATGATATGGTTTAAGTTCCGTTAGGCGATCAACGAGAGTCATCAGATTCATACTACGAAGCTATGCCACTGGTCTTTTTTTTTTCTTTTTGAAAACTATGCTACTGATCAAGTATATTGCCACTGGTCATTTTGATAATTGTACCTATACGGATCAACCTGTACATATTTTGTACATTCTGTACATTTCAGGCAGTCACGAATTAATAGGAAACTTTTCGTATAAGAGTTCTATGATGAAAATCGATCTTTCTAATGAAAATTTCCAGATTTTTTTTTTGGATAAATATCCATACGAAAGCTTTGAGATGAAAGCTTTTAGGGAAAAAAGGAGTGATGGAAACACACGTGCACTAAATTTCTACCCCTTTTTGGGTAGACTACCTAGCGGATACGAAAATGTTGTAGGCTTACAGCGTATAAATGTAAGTGACATTTTCACCCTTGAGCTTGCAAACACGGTTGACCTAGGTTGAGTTATGTTAAATGAAGTGGACCACACTAGTAAAAAAACATTTTTCCATACGGTCAAATCCGATTTTCGTAGGTGGCTGGACGGTCCGCATGCACCCAGGTGTCTACAAAAGTCACTATTTTTGTATGCGGGTGGCGCACCTGTACACAAAAATAAAAAACCGGAAAAAAATCGAAACCCTAGCTCCCCAATAGTGGCAGCGGCGTGGATTTGGTCGTCGCAGGGCTGACAGCGGCATTAAGCTGCGAAGGGGATGGAGCCGCTCCCAACCGCCTCCTCATCGGCGGCGGTGGCGCTGCTCCTAGCCGCCTCCTCGTCGTCAGCAGAGGGAAGAGATAAGGGAAGACAACAACGATATCTTCGAGCTCGAGAGAAATGAGGAGGAGGTTGTGTCATTGTTGTTGTCACATTGTGCTCCTCACCTCATCCTCATGTCGTGATCCTCCTTCGCCTCTTTGTGCTCGGCCACTAGATCTGGACGTGAAGTGGACCGCCGGATCCAGCCGCCTTGAGAGCTCTCAGGAGGGGAGCAACGGGCACCATCGTCGCTGTGACCGGATCTAGCTCCCACCGTCGTCGTTGTGACTGGATCTCGCACCTGTCAATATTGTGCTAATGAATTTATTAATAAAAAAAAGTTTATACACATAATAGTACAATATTATACTTAGGAGTGTCAGGTTAGATATGTGCTCCATCCTAGCTAGGGTCAAAAGCCTTCCCTCATCTTTATTCTTGGTAGGGTTCCATCTGCTGGAAAATTCTTTTGTTTATATGCCTTGACATTTTGGTGACTTAGATAGGGATAGTTTTTGGTTCTTGAGAAAGTATTTCACTGGTGGAGAAACCATCTTTGGTCGGTCCGGCAAAATCCACAATAGTCCCGGATCCAAAAAGAACCAGGACTAAAGATTGTTTTTAGTCCCGGTTATAAAAATTGGGGGCCGAGAATCTTTAGTCCTGGTCAGTGTTAATAACTGGGACTAAATATCACCACTTTAGTCACGGTTGGTACTAAAAACCGGGACTAAAATAAAACACATAGTATATAATCCCTATCACTTATCCTCTCCTCCACAGTTACAACTTAGACAGATCGAATCTCACCCCCTCTCCTCAGATCTATCCTCTCTAACTCTCTTCCTCATCCCCTCTTCTCCAACTCCTTCCCTTCCTCCTCCCCCCTCCTCCCCTTCCCATCTGGCGGGCCGGCCGGCGGCGGCAGCTGTGGCGGGCGGCGGGGCGGCGCCCGGCGGAGGGCGGCGGGTGGCGGGGCGAAGGCCGGGGGGGCCGCGCCTGGCGGCAGGCGACGGGGCCGCGCCCGGCGGTCGTGGCGACCGGCGGCAGCAGCGGCATTCTTTTTTTAAAAAAAAATTGTGATGATTCACTGAGACGTATTTGACTGAGAAGTTACAAATTTGTGATTCATTGTTTGGATCTGTGATATATTTGAGTAATTTCTTAGGATATTGTGATGTATTTAATTTGTGTGTATAAGTAACTTTATGATTTGTGATATGAATTTGGTGATGTGAATTTGGGATGTTAGTTTGATTTGGGGATTGATTTGGGGATTTGCCTACTTGATTCGGGAGAAAATAAAAAGGAAAAAAAGAAAAAAAGAAAAAGGGACCATCTGATACTACCGCTATTGTCTCTTTAGTCCCGGTTGGTAACATCAACCGGGACTAAAGATCTCCTTACCAACCGGGACTAAAGATGTCCACCATCTTTAGTCCCGGATCCTTACTCCCGGTTGGAAAACCAAGACTAAAGGGAGTTCCCAACCGGTTTCTCCATCAGTGTTTCGAGGTGCTTAGTACTTAAAGTTATTAAATTTTACACTAGAAAGTATAAGTATATATCTCCCTGTGAAACATAAAAGAAGTTAATTAATTACGTTACTACGTGCCATAGTCAATGGTGACTAAGAAGAAAAAGCAGAGATAGAATATATACTATGAACTACATTTACAAATTACACGTACGTGTAAAAATACAACTAGCTAGCTAACCAGGTGCATGCGACATTATCCGCAAATACACGTACACGTAATATATACTTGAGCGAGCCACGTACCCCGTAACATGCTGTATGTGCAGCGCCCGAGCCAAAGTTGCGGTGGGAATCGATTTGCTTTGGTACGAAGGAACGCCGCGCCGGCCACCCAATTAACCCGAGCGATCAGCCGAGATCACGTACTCCGCCGCCAGCGCCGCCGCCGCACGCGCGCGCGTATCATCGGCATGCGCATGCAGGTCGGTGCATTTGTCACGGTCTTTGGCTCCTCGCCCATACCTGCCACAGATGCCTTCCTCGACGACTTCCAATTCGAATGGCCACACAGGCGCACACGAGATCACGACGCGTCCCGGCCTATTGCTCGGTCGCGCGCTGCATCCACGCAGCGTATTGTACTACGTTGTATGCGTTGGGTGTGGTTTTGACCACGTGACGTACGGTACTACGGTGCGTTGGCGTATCAATATCCGTGTAGCTAGTACAGTATCTGACAATTAGCACGTCACCAACAGCGACAGACATGCGTGTGTTATGCCCACAATCTACTTATTAATATAGGAGTACTACCAAAGCTAGGGGGTACACATGTTGCTAGTAGTTGCAAGATAGCAGTTCGATCGAGTCTTTGATTTTCAGGTAATTTAGCACTATATATTAGAGCGTTAGTAAAATGTAAAAAATTAAGTCGGTGTTTATTCGCGACAGATCGATCGAAGCATAGACAAAAGGTGCTAAATCGTTGCTTGAAATCTATATGGCACATCACACCGTACCCTAAATTAGTATAGTCCTATATATATTATTATCATTATTATATCATCTCTTGATCAAGAAAAGGTGCTCAAACTCTTCCTTAACTTCGCTTTCACCATAGATTAACAAGACCTGTCACTTGATCAAAGAAAAGGCGATTCAAATATTCCTTGAAATCACTGTCATTCCAGGTTAATAGGACCCACCATACGGAAAAAGTGGTTCAAATCTTCGTTACAATACAAAAAATTAAGAACCATTAGTTTACCTTGGGATTCATCTTTGGAAAAAGTGCACCGGAAGTCCCTGAACTTGTCACCGAGATACGAAAACATCATTGAACTGCAAAACCAGATATAAGGGGTCCCTTAACTATAAAAAACCGGTCACCCGAGGTCCTTCGGTGGTTTTGACCCTGGTTTTGGTCTATGTGGCGGTTGAGTCAGCATGGGACCCACGTGGGCCCCACATGTCAACATGCCACGTCAACACCATCTCTCTTCCTCTCTTCTCTCCACATTTTTTTTCGCTGACGTTGCAAATGTCTAGGCCCACTCGCCAGTCATGGTGCGTGCAAAAGGTGCCGCCGCCGCCGTCGGGAGTAGGAGGTTGGCCGTCGCCGGTCTTAGCCCTCACCATGCTCGCGCACAGAGACGCCGGAGATCTCGGTGGAGGCGGCAAAGATGAAGACTCGTCATTTCCCCAACCTCGTCGCCGCCGCCGACAGAGGCACGGGTCTAGAATGGGGTGGCCTACCTCGACGAATCAGTCGCGCGCGTCACCGATGAGGCCGACATGGACCCTTGGCGCGTGTTGCCACCCGTGACGAGCTCGCCGAGATGTTGCCCGATCCGCCGCCTGTCACGCTCGTCAACAGCGTCGAGCGGATCTGGAGGAAGAGGGAGGGGAGAGAGGAGGATGTGACCTCGTCGCGGCGGGTCCTTGAGCACAGCGCTTGCGGGTGGCCGGCGCCGTGGTGGGGAGGCGCGGGGAGGCCGGCGTCAGCGTCGGCCTGTCGGAGGCGGAGGCGGCGGGTCCTTGAGCACGGGCACGCGTGGCGACCAGTATCTCCTCGAACTGCGACGCCGCTAGACGCGGTCCCGCTCCTCTAATGGCACGTGCAGCATCTCCTCGAACCGTGCCGTCCTACTCTCCACGTCCCCCGCCGCCGCAGCCTTGGCCAGTGCAAGAATCTGACCCGGCGCGGTGGCCTGCTCCCGTGTCGCAGCTGCCGCCGCCAACTCGTCGCACCGACGATCTCCTCCCCATCCGCCGGCCGGCTTGCAGGAGAAAAGTGAAGAGAGAGAGAGAGGAGAAAGGGAGAGGAGGGGAAAGAGAGAGAAGGAGTGATGATGTGGCATGCTGACATGTGGGGCCCACGCTGGCTCAGCCGCCACGTAGACCAAAACCAGGGTCAAAACCACCGAAGAACCTCGGGTGACCGGTTTTGTATAGCTAAGGGACCCCGTATATCTGGTTTTGCGGTTCGAGGACGTTTTCGTATCTCGATGACAAGTACAGGGACCTCCGGTGCACTTTTTCCTTCATCTTTTGTTTTAGTCATGGGAGATTATGTGAAAACAGAGGGAGATCGAGGCTTGGTAGCATAATTAACAGTCAAAATTAGATATACCCCCTCCGTTTCACGATGTAAGTCATTCTAGCATTTTCCACATTCATATTTCCCACATTCATATATGTCTCGATTCATTAACATTAATATGAATGTGGGAAATATGAATGTGGGAAATGTTAGAATGACTTACATTGTGAAATGGAGGAAGTAGTCCTTAAGATAGTGTTGAAACTAAAATACCCTTAATTACTAGGACTAGGAGAGAATGAGTATATGTTATATTATTAGAACGTAGCAAAATATCTAGGAGTTACCACGTTAGTTGGATAAAAGAGAAAGATCGATATACATCATTAAAACATGGAGATGTGTGATTCAAATTATTATGCTGAAGATTGATCAATATAGCTATATGGTATATATATATACAAATATAGATGTGTTTACACATAAGCAATTGGCAAAATTTGCTACAGGACGCTCAAAGTTTGTGGCATTTGCTGTGAGACACCCAAAAAACGTGTATCTTCTCATGAACACTGTAAAAATGTGGTAATTAGCTGTTGGACACCCGCCTCATTATTTTATTATTTTCGGTGAAAACGGAGAGAGAGAAAGAGCGTTGAAAGTACCAAAATACCCCTGGAAACTGTTCTTCTTCCTGCTTCTCTTCTTCTTTCTTTCTTTTCCTCTCACACTGACATGCCACAGCAGACCAACGGCTCCATCTGGCAAGGGCAGCACGATGGCATCCAGGTACATGCTAGCCCCATGTAGCAGATGTCCCCGTTGGCCTGCAGCAGCAGCAATGCCAAGCCAAGCCGTGTGCGAGCCGGAAAACGGCGCTGATTCGCTACCCCTTGGCGAGTGCGAGCAGAGTAGGAAGGGCCCCAAGGGGAGCAGGTATGCTGTATGCCCCTGATTTCGCTCGCACAACTGCTCTTTGCGAGGTCAAGGACGGAGAGGAAAGACAGAAGAGGGGATCTCAAAAGGGGGAAAAAATGAAAAAATGAGCCATCCATGTCGATCCACCAGTGGATGAAATGGCGGACGGGGCACGCGTACCGCGCCAGGATTTGGCCAACGGCGGCAGCGCCCACTTCGTTGCTGCCTCATCCGAAGCGGAGCCCCGGGGAGGACTCCTAGCGGCAGCGCGCCGCCCCATGCTCTAGCTGCTGCTGCAGTGGCGGCGCCCACTTCGCCACTGCCCCATCCGAAGCCACAGGAGGAAGAAGATGAACAGAGAAAGAGATAAGAGGGATTGACAAGTGGGTCCATGGGCAAACTTGTCTTTAACAAATGTTTCTCTCTCCGTTTCCACCGAAAATAATAAAATAATGAGGCGGATGTCCAGCTGCTAATTACCATTTTTTTGCAGTATCCACGAGAAGATACACGTTCTTTAGGTGTCTAATATCAAATACTATAAACTTTGAGTGTCTTGTAACAAATTTTGCCTGAGCAATACTGCCCAGGATTTGTATATCAATGTAAATAATATTTCACAAATATATGCAAAATTTCATTGAAAAATCTATTAGTTATTATAATTACAAAAAGAAGATATATGTGCACATAGAACTTTCTTAATTTCTTTCAAATTTTCCATGGTGTTTGTTGTTAATTAGCATTCCACATGTCTTACCGTTGATTCCTACTGCGAATTACCCTTTTTCTCGAGAATCCTTCAGCGCATTTCATATTAGCTAGTTTGCTAGGTACGTGGAAAATTGCTCTGGAACAACATTTTAATATATAATAATAAAACCCCAGCTATAAGCAGATCTAAAATCCTGTAGTAGTAGGGTTGCTGCACAGTGTCAAATTGGCCCATTTGCATGTAGGATGCAAACGGGGTTAATTAAACACTTAAAAATATGTAGGAATCCACACCTAACAATAACAACTATATACACAGGTGGCATTTCTACATAATGGGGCTAAACAATGATTTTTTTCACCCACTCTATCTTCTCGTATTATTAAATTGTATATATGATTTTGTGATGTACAATCGCCTTGATCGATCCTACACTATTTTGATTGTCTCTTCGTAAGTATAATTTGTATGTGTGACGTGGTTATGTTACGCGCAATTAGACAGCTTCTTACATTTATCTACTCTTTTTAATTTATTGTGATGAAAAAAAAACATGTATCATGTTATTTATCACCACGAGTACGTCGAATGTAACGTAGAGCACTGAAAATGCCATTAGAGTATCTCCATCAGGGATCTTAAATCCAGCCCCTATTCAAATTTTGAGAGTTAAAGATAAAAAAAACTAGATCCAGCAGGGTCCCTACTACAGCCCCCAAAATGAGAAGGCCCTCAAATCCTCCCCCCAAGGCCTCAGTCCTGGGGGCTCCGAGCACGGCCCCCATCGTTCTTTTTTTGGCGCGGATAACAATTTTGCTTCGCGCTTTTTCGTGTTATTCCCGCGTGGCTGCGACGAGGGATCTTCTCCGGCGACCACCGACGAACTCCCAGCATCTCTGCCAAGCCTGTCCCAAAAGGTAAGACTTTTCCATACATTTGTTTGCCCGTCGTCCACAAGGCCGGCGGCGGCGGTCCATGCGCACGCGCGGTCACCGACCTCCCGCCATCCGCCTGGCCATACGCCGGCCGTCGCGTGCCCTCTGAGACTGCCGACGCGCACATCACCCACTTGCACGGTGTCTGCCCCCACGCTGGCCTCTGCCCGATCGTATTTTCAGATTTCACTGGCGGGAGCCTGTACACCGCCGCTGCCCCATTGATTTTTCTGGAAAAAACTTGAAGTTGGTCATGTGGTGTGGTGGTTGAGTAGTAGAGGAGATATGAGTAGTAGAGTACCAGTCAATTTTTCTGAATAAACTCGTTCTTGACTACCTGTGGACGTGGTGATAGATGGTTCTGGTGGAGACTGATTTGTTTTTAATATTTTTTTGAAGAATTGTAGTGGACTGTCGGCCAGGACAATCTAAATTCTCAACTAGTATATATCACTGTACTTATAGTAGCACTGCATTTTGTAGCACTGTACAATTGTTGCAATGGATCGATTATAACCACATATATATATATATATATATATATATATATATATATATATATATATATGCACTGCTTTTTATAGATTGAATGTTGCATACTGTATATGTGTGTAGTTGGATACGTGTGCATATGCTCTAAATTTTCTTATTAATTTTATGATCTTGTGATGGCAGTGTTTTTTACATGAACTTCTACGACGGTGACGACGACGACGACGACGATCTCATTACCGAATGGTGGGATCAAGAGGAGTTGTCTGACGATGATGACTATTACATTGCAGCTGCTCTTCTTACGGACATAGAACATAAGAGGACCAAAAGAAAGCGTCGTGGTTCGGTCCCAGGTCGTGAGATAATTTATAGGGACAGGTTTGCTGGCAATTTGCGCATAGTGGCTGATTATTTTGCAGATCCTCCTGTATATAATGCAAAATTATTTAGGAGGAGGTTCAGAATGTCAAAGGAGCTCTTCTTGCGCATCGTGGCTAGTGTGGAGGCTTATGATGACTACTTCAGGCAGAGACCGAATGCAGTGGGTCTTCTCGGTGCTACTGCATTGTAGAAGGTGTATGGTGCAATTTGCATGCTTGCATATGATATTCTAGCCGATAGTCTTGATGAAGTCGTGAGAATTTCAGAGAGCACCATGATAGAAGCTTTCAAGCACTTTGTCAAGGCTGTGGTAGATGTGTTTGCTGATCAATACTTGAGGGCACCAACTGCTGAGGACACTGCAAGGTTGATGGCTATAAACACTCCAAGGGGGTTCCCAGGGATGCTAGGTTGTATTGACTGTATGCATTGGAGGTGGAAGAATTGCCCAACAGGCTGGAAAGGACAATACTCAGGGCATGTGGATGGGCCAACCATGATTCTTGAATCTGTTGCATCTAAAGATTTATGGATTTGGCATTCCTTCTTTGGATTACCAGGTTCTCTTAATTATATCAATGTACTACAGAGATCACCACTCTTTCAAAGGCTTACATCAGGGACAGCTTCTGAGCTGGAGTTTATGGTGAATGGAAAGAAATACACTATGGGTTACTATCTTGCTGATGGCGTATACCCTTCTTGGGCCACTTTTGTGAAGACCATTTCCAATCCACAAGGTAACAAGAGAATACATTATGCAAAAGTTCAAGAAGGAGTGAGAAAGGATGTTGAAAGAGCATTTGGTGTTCTACAAGCCTGCTTTGCAATGGTGAGGGGTCCTGCTAGATTTTGGGATACAGAGACCCTATGGTACATAATGACAGCTTGTGTAATCATGCACAACATGATCATTGACAATGAGCGAGATGAAGATGTAGACTACGACTATGATCAGGAGGACAGTGAGGTGTTGAGAAAGGAGGAATACCAACGGCGTAATAAACCTATGTTAGAGAAGTTTCTAAAGATACATAAAGAAATTGAAGACCACTAAGGATTTCATCTTTGGACCAGAAGCAAGCAAGAGGTGGAATACCACAAAGAGAAAGGGTACCCCATAAAAAACAAGTTCTTGTAATTGGAATGTATTTTCTTAAACCACCCATAAGAACCATATTCTGACTTTTATCTGGTGAATATCCAACAAGAGGTTCCATTGAATGAATAACAGATCCGGATCCCAAGAATAATAAAGCTTTCGAATAAGCATGAGTGATCAAATGGAATAAAGCTGCTTGATAAGAACCTATACCTAGAGCTAACATCATATAACCCAATTGAGACATTGTAGAATAGGCTAAGCTTCTTTTAATATCTCTCTGAGCAAGAGCTAAAGTGGCTCCTAAGAAAAGTGTTAGTGTACCTATTAAAGAAATGAAACTCATTATCAAAGGTAGGGATATGAAAAGAGGAAGAAGTCAAGCTATAAGAAAAATACCCGCAGCAACCATAGTTGTTGCGTGTATAAGGTACATGAGCAACTTCGAGATGATCTTGTGGAACATTTGTGGGCGCTTCATGGTGCTCGGTAGTTTGTTTCGTTGCATTTTCTATCATGTATGGGTTATGTTCAATATTTGCTTGTAGGATATATCATTTTCATGTTTGAAAATTTTGAATTCAAATTTGAATCGTGGTGTTTGAAATTGCAAATTTCAATATGGTTGAATTCTACGCGCTAGAGTTATCTATGTTTGAATTATTGTGTGTTAAACTAGATATAAATATAAATTCTATACTAAAATAAAAGAGAAAAAAGAAATAGGGGCTAAGATATGGAGACTACTGCTAGACATAAAGGCATATTTAGGGTCTTAAAGCATTGGGGGCAGCCCCCATTTAAACTTTAGGGACTCTAGAGTAGGGGTTACTACTAGAGATGCTCTTACCGAATAATTAGTGCGCTCTTGAATTGAAGGAGTTGGAGACAAATGAAATACAAAAATCTAGCAAAACCTCAATAAGGGAAGCAATAAAAGCTGTTATGGTGAATTATGTGGAAGCAATAAAAGCTATTATGGTGAATTATGTGTAGATCATGATTGAAATCTTACTGTCCACGAATATTGTAAACACGTGGGTACGCAGGGTTTTATTTTTAACTAAAACAAGTAAATTGTTATTTTTATGATTTATTATTTTCTTTGTGTCATAGCATATTATTTTTTTTGTCATGTATTTTTCTATAAAAAATGTAAACTGTTAATTGTTTTCGTGCCAACACAAATAATATTTTATTGGATTTATGATTTAATATAACTGTTTTTTTAGTCACGGTACCAAAAAAAATTGTAGATTGCGGTTACAGAAATTGCAATGAATGCAATCTACAGTTTTAGTACAAAAATATATATAACCATCATCTGAAAAAAGCTAAAATTCAGACACCCGACTTGTCATAAAATTTAGGTGTGTCGTCGTCAGTTCCGACATTATCCTTATCAATCTCGTCTTATTCCGTCTACATTAATAAACAAGGGCATTCTGATGACGCAAGGAAGTTGGAATTAGGTTTTGAGTGCAAGGTAATTAAGTTCAGATAATACTCATGCGTGAAGTAGCTGCTCAACCCTTCATGGAATAGCATGTTCATCTTCCTCAACGCTATCGTCGACCGCGTATTTCCTGTTCAACCCTTCATGGAATAGCGTGTTCATCTTCCTCAACGCTATCGTCGACCGCGTATTTCCTATATACGAGTTTGTTAAGCATTCGCGAGCCACATGCGGCGAGCTGATTATGGCCATCTAGAAAAACCAGATCGTGGGATTTATTTTCTGTTACGGAATGGAATGTACAACGTTTAGTCTAGAAAAACCGGATCTTACGTCGTATTTAGTTTTCTCTTTCAATTTTTAGCTATGTTACCAACCTTATATGTAACCCCGACCTTATGGAATTTCAGGCATTTTTTTCCTTTTAGGATTGCAATTTTATTTCGTGAATATATTATATATCATCATATATCCATATTTTTCACTCGAAAAAAAAAATCTCATTTTATTTAGAATGATTTTTTAAATGTTTTATTTTCTGGTACACAGGTTGATAATTGTCTGTGCTGTAAAATGGGTGCATGATGTCAATACAGATGCATCTTATGTCATAACTAAAGATTTAATGAACAAACTATTAAATTTTTAATCTTTTTTAATGTTTTGGATATTTTTCATATTAATTTTGGTTTTACTGTATATTCTAGAGTTATAGGAGTCTAGTATCGAGTATGCGTGGTATATCTAACGAAGGAAAATTAACGTAAATTCATTGTTTTAGATTTATTTTTTTGCTTAATAATTTTGACTTTACTATATAATTCTAGAGTTATAGGAGGAGTACCGAGTAGGCGTGGTATATTTATAGAAGATAAAGGAGTACAAGTTCGTGTGATTGAAAACAGAGATAGTTTTGGATTCCTCTGAAATCCATATGTAATAGTAGTACAGAGTAGACGTGGTATATTTATAGAATGTAAAGGAGTATAAGTTCGTGTGATTGGAAAGAGAAAATAATTTTGGAAGGCTGTGGAATCCCTAGTGATATTTTTCTCTAGATTTTCCCTCACATATGATTGTTAGGTATTTTTTCTCTAGTATAAATTTATGATTTTTCTTCAATAGTAAGAGGCGCCACGTGGACCAATTGAAAGCTAGCAAAAGAACCAGCTTTAGATTATTAGATAGGACTACAATAAACTCAATGTATTTTACCACAAGTCTATGTCCTCCAATGTGCACTAGTGGATGTATGTGTGATGCGATCTTAGTAGGTGACCAGTTTACCACCTATTATCGTCTTCTTTTTTTTTCTTTGAATAATTATTGTCGTCTTCTTTGGGAAGGACTCATGCATGCGTATATGCATAATTTGTGTTGCGGTGTATACGTGTCTTTTGTGTAATCGAGAAAAACAACAACCTCAATGAAAGCTAATAAAAATCATTTTTCTCATATTTGGAATTATTAGTGTTTTTCTTTCTCATATTTAGAATTTTAAGTCGCTTTCCGAATAATGTTCGTAACAAGTTAGTGTAGCTTCTTGAAACAAAGGATGGGATTCGTTTCATTATTAAAAAAATAAAAATCCCTTTCCCCTAGTCCGAAACCTGAAAAGTTAGAGCACGAACGAATCCACGGGCATATAAAAAAGCTTTGTCCGGGCCAGCACCTCTCACGCTGGGTCACCTTCTCTTATCCGTTCCATGTACACGACGCAAGCACAGTGCACCCTGGGCCAGCCCATCCAGGCCTAGACGTCGTTGGGGCGCCAGGAGGGCCTCTCCCTCGCGACTCCGACCCGTCGTCACACTGGTGGTATCAGATGGAGTCGTAAATTTGGTCACGGTGATCCACAGTTCGCACACTGGGGCTCCCTGATTAAATAGGTCGGCTCAAAACAAGAACACAAACGTGCCCTGCTGCAGTGTAAGTCGGCTCAAAATATCGGGCTCAAAATACACACATCTACAAAAGGCGGTGGCTTGGCAAATGTCAAAAACCGGTGGATTCTCGGCACGCCATAAGCAAAGCCGCGTGGACCCTGCGCGACTTTGGGCGCCGGCGGATAGCTCCCTCCGCTCCGCGGCTACCAGGCACCAGCTGCCTCGCGACGGCTACAAGCCGCACGCCCGCATCTGACGCGCTCGTCCGCCGCCACCCTGGGCGGCCGGGCAGCGTCGCCACAGTAGTTAACTAGTCCCAGCTCGCAGCCTTACCCTGACAGCTGCAGCTTTCCTCTTTTTTTTTTCTCCCTTTCTTGCGTGTAACAACACGGTTATTACTACTTACCAGTACTACACTACGCCGAGCGTTGAACCATTGCCAGGCTGAGCTGACACTGTAGAGCTGCGACAATGAGGTGTCGAAACAACCGGTCGTGGACGACGATGTGTCCTTTACAGTCGTTCACAGTGCAGAAACAGGGGCACCCTCCTCGAGTCGTTGAAAACTTAGCGTTGTCACAGCTGTTGATGCAGAAGTAACACCCATGAATGCTCTCGTTCGGAGTGGGGGAAAGGAGGGGAGTGAATTATCACAGGATGTGATTTATCCTGTAACGCATTGAAACTAGAAAATGGATCGTAAAGTCCTTAAGGGTATGTTTAGTTCACGTCAAAATTAAAAGTTTGGTTGAAATTGAAAATATGTAACAGAAAAGTTTATGTGTGTAGGAAAGTTTTGATGTGATGAAAAAATTGGAGGTTTGAAAAACTTGTTTGAAACTAAACTCGGCCTAAGACGCCCTGTTCAAGCTGAAGATAGCAGTGATAAACTGATGATATCTGAACAACGGCGCTGCTACAAATATTTTCGCGGCCCCGAATCTGATCAGTATTGTTAATGCTTCCTTTTACACTATACATCAAGGACACATAAAAAATGAACAGAGGGGCAAAAGGCAACCCGCTAATCTACACCCTCAAATGTACAAAGAATGCCTAAAATCCAGTCCTGTCGTAAACAAATTCCTTGCAATTCTGTGCCAAAGCCGTGTACGTGCTGCCCTGCTGCTGGAAGAACGCACGGCGTTTCTGCAATAGAAGATATCTTTGTTGCTCAACCGAAAAACAAAATAGTTTCATCAACTTCTATCGATATCTCGCCTCTATACATCCATGTCCTCAGTGCATTTCTTGTTGGATTTCAATGACCACCTCTACTGTTTCTTGTGAAGCCGGGCTGCTTTCTCTACCTCCAGTACGATCACGATGGATAGGAAGTATCCAATGAGGTGATCGACTCACTGAGCTTTCAGGGTGGCTGAATAGTTGAGGGAGACTACGGACAGGGGACTCGGCAGGTTTTCCACTGGGTAGGTCCTTCAATGAGATCCGGCATATCGGACAAGTAGTTTGCTTTTGTAACCATACATCTATACAGGAAAGATGAAAATTATGACGGCATTTGGGCATGATGCGCAGAATCTCTTTCTCATTGTATTCACCTAAACATATGGAGCACCTGTTAAACAAAAAAAAAAGGTCAAATAGCTTATAACATTATTTCTGCAAGATGGTAACTTTCTCCGAGCATGTCGCAGCACAAATAAGGAACCATAATCATCAACCAGTAATATTATTTTTGACATGATAGTCAGCCCAGTAATATAAATCCTAACACAAAATGGTATTTTCTCTTGATTATTCCATTTTTTGGCAGGGAAGACTCGGTTACAAATGATATCTGTTGGACAAGAAAGTAACTTCTTGCCATGAAGACACAGATCCAAGATAAAAAAGAAAAGACAGCGAAGCATATGCAGGTCCAGTGCTATTCTGTTCACCAAATAAGTGCTAGAGACCGTTTTTAATCAAAAATATAATTCTATTCAACTGCCCTCTTTTCCACACATAATTCATGTTATGCATATCCGATACATCATGAAACACAAGCACACATACACACAAAAACTCTGATGATTATCTGTATCAATTTCACCGGTGTTTTTTTTAGGCTACCAGTAGTTTTATTTGATTGATTGCTCACTATCTTCAATAGTCATGTTAGATTAGCAAGCATGGGTCAATGTTCAATTATCAGGTCTGCTTGTTTTCCTTTCCTCCATTCAAAAATGGGATAAAAGAATAACAACAGATAGCTCATGCAATTCTTGTTCCCAAAAGCACTAGTATGCTATATAGCTTGTAAATCACAACTAGAGAGCTAGTCTGGCTGGTGAGTTGTTCCAACATATTTCAGTTTCTTAGCCAGCTGTACCACATGCTTCACAACACATGAGATCACCAATATTAAATATGAAATATTTTTCAGGCTATCAGCATCGGATCATCATTTTTGGAATGGAGTTGTTTGCAATTGTTCATCTAATATTAACATATTATGCACACTAACAAACTTCTTGAATATTCTTTTCAGTGAATTTCACTGACAATTGTCGAAAAGAAAAACTGTACAGGCATTCCAGCAGAGCAAAGAAAGTTTGATGCAGGTAACTGGACAGTTGCAGATACTACCTCATGAAGTTTGCTGCCAATCCAGAACAGGCAAACATGATAGACAGGAGACCAAAAGATGGAAGCACGTAAGTAGCTCTACAGTATACAGTACACTTACTGGGCATCATCTTTTGATTGGAAGGCCTCGTAGCTGTACTTCATTGTAGGAATTGCAGCAACAACAAAAGGTTCCAATCCACTACGGGTATGCTCAATCTATTGAAAAAAAAAGGAATGACCAAGTTAATTTCCGAACACAAGCACATACCTAATTAGCACAGTGGTTTTCCATTTAGTATTACAAATATCTGATTTTAGCAGTTCAAGCATCATTTTCTAATTAGGAATGATGCAACAAGTAAATAAGGACAAAAGGGAGCCCATCAAAAGATACAACAGGAGCACCTTAGTGTGCCATTACATTTGGAATTTGGAATCTGGTAATTGTTGTGTAACTTTTCAGTAATATTGTTATATTATCAATATATATACAATACTACGATAGTTTGCATGAAGAATTCAAAACTCTCAATAGATTAGAAGTTTATCTTCCCAAAAGGCTACTCACTGAAAATATTATTGTCATGAACAAGTGGAAGTTAGCATGTCTGTAAAGGTGATCAATGGGCACAAAACTGGCAAGAATCTGGTCCTAGGCCTCTAGGTTGTCCGTAAGCAATATAAAAGATGCTTTATATATGGAGGATGGATTCTAATCTCTTGGGTGGACGTCCACCCGTTTCTTGCATGCCACCTAAATGATTATGAAAAAATTCCAAAAAAATTCACAAGATAGGTTAATATGTAATATATCACTTCACAAACATGCAAGTTCAAATTCGACTTCTACAAGTTGTAACAAAAATAACAAATCAAACTCTAACTAGTATACGTATATTCACAGTCAAATTTGTTATTTTTTGACTTTTTGTTATAACTTGTAGAAGTCGAATTTGAACTTGCATGTTTGTGAAGTGATATATTACATATTAACCTATCATGTCATATTCACAGTTGAAACAGACAGCGCAGATGTCTAATCTTCTATTGAGTTATAGAAAATAATGTGATATTGACATAAATTGGTGATGAGAGTAATTCAGACACTCTCACAACAACCAAGAGAAAAAATACACTATGACAACTCGATTATATTGTGACCAAGCATTAGACATACATCAGAAGAAAAAACAAGTTTACATTATGTTAAGTAACTTGAAATTTCTATGGCTGGTTTGATTAGCAAAGGAAATCTTTGGCATAACTATATGGCCAACACGAACTGCATTTATTTTGGAACAAGACCATGTCTTCTCTCTCTCTTTTTAATATAACTACAAAATCTTTTTTATTACGATGTTTACTCAAGTTAATAGTTTTTATTAGTAGGATTAGTAGTACTTTTGGTTCCCAAGTTATCACTCCTTGCTCAATTCAGACACATAATTTCCTTCTCCATTTTATCACCTCATTGTTACTAGGATTTTTCAGACGCATTTGGAGCAAGCATTTTTTCCACATTTGAAGCTTAGTTAGGTTTTAAAAAGGCAATGCCCATCTATCTTTCTGTTAGAAAGAATAGCTTGCATTGCAAATAGTATGCATCAATCCTGAGTTAAAGTGTGATGTGCATTTATTGCTCAATTGCTATATAACAGAATTTGCACGTCATGCACAACTAAACAAGTTTGAAGCATTGAATTGTTGTCTAATTTGTATCCAGGTATATCCAGGGTTCAAAATTCCGGAACGAAATTTCGATCATATCGGACCCCCCCCCCCAATGATATTATTTTGGCCGAATTTTTTTTTGTGAATTTGGAATTATTTTATTCAACTTTGACTAAAATGTCTTCAAAATTTCAGAACGAAATTTCTGCAATTTCAGTATATCAGCACCCTCTGATAGAAACGTCCAAACCGAAAGATTAAACCCTGGTTATAACTGAAATCAAATGAAGGAGCCATTCATAAACAAGCTTGAAGCCTTGAATTGTTGTCTAATTTGTATCCAGATAATTGGAAGTAAATGGAGGAACCATTCGTTTTTTTTTTTAGATTTTCCACTGCTGGAACAAATTAAATCAGTGTGAGGCGTGGCGATTTGTCATTTCCGTGAACTGGTTGCCATACCCGTAGAAATTGCGAACTATTGGACCCATCGCTTATGGAGTCATGTTAAAAAGCAATTCAAGCGGCACAGCATCAACAATTCACCACGCAGCAATGCGCACAGAGCCATCCCACGCCAACCAGCTAAACGCTAGATGATGTTATTACCGGAGTAGAGCACAGAAATCTTACCGTGCGGTCGAGATCCGTGGCCCGGAACTCGACGTCGAAGTCGAACGGCGCGGGGCCAGCCGCCATGGCCCGCGCGGCCGCGACCCTGCCCTCGGCGGCGTCGGCCTCGGCGTCGGCCCGCGCGGCGCGGCCGCAGATGAGGCGCGCGCAGACGAAGACGATGAAGGTGGCACTCATCCCGAAGCCGATCACCGTGGTCACCAGATTCAGCCCCGACCCCAGCATCTTCCCCCCAACACCTCTCGCCCACCGCGCAACACCAACAGGAAAAAAGGAAAAAAAAAAAACTCGCGCGCGCGCAGCAGGCGGATCAAGCGGGCGTGCGGGGCCGTGGCTAATAATACGGTTGCTCGAGCAGGACGCTGCCGCTGCGGCGTATAAGAGCGGCGGTGCGGCGGCTGCTGCTGCTGGGGTCGGGCTGGGCGACGGTGGCCATCGCCGCGGGGTTTGGGATTTGGGATTTGCGTGGGGCGCTGGCAACGAATGATGCGGCGCGGGGGCGGCGGAAATGGAATCCGTTGAGTTGGTGACGAAGCAGTCAGCACGAGTCGTCGCGAGAATGAGAAGTATCTCCCCGTGACTTGCGTGATGCCTGCCTTGCGTCTAGTAGCTAGTACTAGCTGCCCTACTACTACTACCCCGCCTCGGCAGTCGGCAGATCTGCTCCTCCGCCTCCACCTCGCACTCGGCACTCCATGCCGTCTGCCTCGCCCTCTCCATGACGTGTGGGCACCCGCACCGGGGGTCCAGCTGTCACTCGGGAAGGGCTGGGTCGGCGGCCGTGGCTAGTAGATGCGGATTTGAATAGTGGAGGGGAGGAGAGCGCGCGGGGCCCCCCGCGGCGGCGTGGGAGCGTGGGAAGGGAGCAGGTGCGCGCCGCGGAACAGTCCAAGATTTGGCAGTCGCCACGCCACGCCTGATCAAACGATGCTGCGTGGTCTGCATGCTACGTGAATGATACGGACTTTCTCGTGTACTTACATATCTTGAAATTAAAAAAAACAAGGTACTTCTACTTACCACCTTTCTTCGGGAACACAAATAAAAGATGGTTACCATGCGCTGCGAGCCTGCGAGTGCCGAGGTGGGTGGTACACGGCTAGTACTACGCACTAGTACTCGTGTTCGTGAACAACCCGCGGGCGAGGAGGCGTTCACGTCAGTGAGATGGCATGTCGGCCTTCTTCACCGCGCAAACCTTACCTAATGCACGGCATCGTACCGCACGGAACGTTCTTGATAGTGGCCTGAAAACAACTTGTATTTTTCAGGCTCGGACTCCCGGTATACAACTCGTTGAGACTTGAGACTGCGTACTCATTTTGCGTATGAACAGTAGTCTCGTTTTATTGACACGTTCGAGCTCGGCCCATCATCCGGGGCTCCTACTACGAGGCGACGGCCCATTTGAGTATATCGGACGATCAGCATACGGCCCATAGGACAGCCGCAGGCCCGCAGCTTACAAACCCAGAGAGGCAGGCACCGCAGATGAACATGTACACGAATTAGGTCAGGTTATATACTCCGTACTTGTCACTCCGCCTAAAATCCAACACCGATCAGCGATCAGGCAGGCGGCAGGCCTCCCTCCGTCAGCCGGTTGCTTCAAAGGGCAGATTTGCTTTTGGCCAACGGCGAGATAGTAAGGTCAGCTTCTCTACCTGGCACCTGCTGGTTCTTATCTGATTGGGCACGCACGGCAGGTGCTTGTTGAAATGCCTCTTTGCACGAGCAATCTGATCTGGTCTTAGTCCTGAACTCCTGATTGCGATATCTTGCTTGCTTGCTGAATGTTCGGTTGATTTTTAGACTGGTGTTACCTCTTCCGTAGGAAAGATCGTGCTTTTAAAACTTCTTTATCGAATAGTGGATGCAATTAGTACCGTAGAATGCAATACTCTGTAATCTGTATACAAGAGATTTTTGGCCGACTTCTGTCATACTGTTATACTACATGTTTTTCGATCTCAGAATAGATTCAAATAAAATGCTTTAAATGATAAGTTTTCTGTTCAGGCTAATTTGTTCCTTAAGTTTTCGTAAAACATGACAAACGTCCCTGACTTTTAATTGAAGTTGATGTAGCTAATTTTGTTGCATTGGTTCCTATTGATCCAACTCCTATCAATCAACTGCAAGGTTTACGGCACAATTAACAATGAATCTACCTTATTTCTGTGGAATGCATCTGCTGTAGTGTGCACTGCAAATGATGGGTGTATAATCCTACTGATGCTGTGGAATGTGTGTGATGCATCTCACCGTCACTCGGAAAACCTATTATGCTGTTGATTTTGGTTGGCACGTGATATTTGGGCCAAATTTGATGTTGGGCCAGGCCGTTCTCCTGTGACGGTCTGTAATCACAGACCACCACCAATTATATGTACTTTTGATAGTACCTTTGATCTTTAGAAAACAGTAGCATCTTCTTGAGCATCTTGACAGAAGATCTGTTTTCAGGGATAGTAATGGCTGAAATTGCATCTGAATGAAAGTGACCACGGATAAATGCAAGACGTTTAATTTGGAATTGATAAAGGCCCTTCCTTTGTTCCCTTTGTCAGTAAGAAGTTCAGAAAATAGGACATTGTACATTGTTTGTACTCTTGTCCCCGACGGCCTGGTCTTGTGTTGCAGTTTTGAGACCAACACAGATATTTGAACATTGGATCACCCCAGACTGATTATAGTATTTTGCCTTAAAATATCCTGTCCATTATATTATTCTATCAGTCATCTGACCCTTAGTGCTGCTCAGATGTTGATCAACTTATTTCTCGATTGAACTCTCCTGCTTGTCTTCAATAAGGATACAATGTACTGATAACTTAAGTAAGAAGCTGATGCATCAGTTTGACCTGAATACCATTGGCTAAAGCTGCATTCCCTAAAAGTGGTCAACTTGAACAACTCAAAAGAATTATAGGTCAACTTGAATCCTCCCAATCCCTTCCTTTTTATGTTTGACATTTTTCAATTTTTGCAATATAAATGTAGTTGACTGTAGCTGTCATTTGTGTATTGCATGTTGTGGTTTCTTAATGCATTGACAATGAATATAAAACTCATATATAGTATGTAGTTACTTATAATGTCATCTATAGTCAACAGGCTCATTGCTGAGGAAAAAAAAAGATAAATCCAGTTGTTACTTAAACAGCTCATGATGAAAATTATATTTGCAAATGGTACCACTAAATTATTCTTTTTATTTTTTTATCATGTACTCCTATACCCCACATTTGCAGTTCTTTGTGCTCACCAGATTTCTATCCTGGTCTTTTCTTTCTGAGGGGACTCATTATTGAAATTATTCTATTTCGCTGAAGTACTATATATTTTTAAAATAGGTTGTTTTTTTTTCTGGTCGTACTTCTATGTTCTGTAAGTGCTTACTCCTTTTATCAAGCTACTTAACATAACCTATGTTCAGAAAATATATATTTATGTATAAATGGTAAAATGCTCATGTATTACATGTTCAATCTTGGCTGAAGGATGTTTGATAGTATTCCGCCTTTGTATCCATCAAGCAGTTGAAATCTACTACACGTCCGTGTAAAAGGCGAATGAAGCATTTTCACTGTATACCTTTTCAGTGTTTGTGCTATGTTTCTGGTGTTTTGACTTGATTTAATGTGATTGGCTTGCACTGATGGTCTGTTAAAGTCTGCTGACTTCGTTGCATTATTTCCTCCATCCTTTCCGCCATGTATTTCAGGAGTTAATCGAACAGTTCTTGTTAAAGATTTATTGTCTTTCGGCCACTCCATCCGTTTATGTGTGTAAATTTGGTTCTCTTGTACTGCTAGTGTATATGCTCTGGACATGCATTTGGAGGTAAATGTACATCATGGAATACACATAGCCAGAAACTGCAAATTTGATTAATTGTATATTACTTACTAAAGCCTAGAGAATCTGTCTTATCCGCTTTGGTTTGGTATAAAACTGCTCCTACAATATTGATGTGAAAGATTCTGTGGTTTTAATCTGGCTAGATGACTTCTGATACTTGATCAATCTCCAATAAAGAAATTATTAGCATAAGAGTCATTTGTAATCTACTTGACTAAACTAATTATGCCCACCACCAATAGCTAACTTGCCACCTGCCATGATTCCATTAATGAGAAGGGTTGCTGTCCTGATTTATTTTCATGTTAAGATGTAAGAGTAAACTTCTATACTTGCAGTAACAGATACATTGTTTGTTTCCTAGTCCTAGGATGAAGCCCTGATTGGCGTGATTAATTACTAGCTTATCCAAGGCCTGATTGTCGCGGAGCCTGATGTTCTCCAGCCTAGAAGACGAGCATCTTCAGAAAGGATAACGGATCAGACAAAAGAGAGGTACCATCCATCTCTTCTGTTCGTAGTTCTTCCTCTGCCAGCTACAAATACTACTCCTCCCTCCGTTTAAATAATATATATATTATAAGTCGTTTGACTTTTTTTCTATTCAAACTTTATTAAGTTTGATCAAGTTTATAGAAAAATTTAGCAATATCTAAAATATCAAATTAGTTTCATTAAATCTAACATTGAATATATTTTGATAATATGTTTATTTTACGTTCAAAATACTACTATATTTTTCTATAAACTTAGTCAAATTTAAAAAAGTTTGACTAAAATAAAGTTAAACGATTTATAATATGAAACAGAGACGGAGGGAACGGGCAACGGCCGGGCAGTTTCGAAAAGACAAAGCATAACGATATAAACATCTCAAACCGGTCCTTAAATTATGGCTTAAATTCGGACATTTAACTGCAACTTGAGTTGACATGCCAAAAGTCAGCTTCCAGAAAATGCAAACACATGTCCCAGTTGCCCTACTGTAGGTTTTCCGCATGTCAACTGCATTATTTGATCAACAAAAAACGGTGCTTCCGGCTTCCGCTACTACCTGCAGCCAGCACACTTTTTTTTTTGGAAACAGTACAGCCAGCACACTCTGTTGACGAGCCCTGATGGGTTTCAGTTTCAGATCCATTTCTATACGCTCAGTCACATTTTTTTATGTATACGTTTGAGTACGCCCACCATATAGATATGTAGTTCAGACTTTCTGTGGTTGCCGTCCCGTAAGCAAATATGTCATGGATTTCGTGAAGCTGCTGCGACGTTGAAGTGTTAGGCCAGCGCAGCGGCCCGCTCGAGCCAGGCCACTAGCTTAAAACCGATCGAGAGACGCACGCGAGTGCATGTGCCACGAACGCACGACCGCACGTCACATCATCCTTCTGGTGCCGGACTACCCGAGTAGAACGACACACTGGCAGCGTGGCACCGTGGCACCGTGGTCTATTGACTCTTATCTAGTGGACACGACTCGAGCAGCGGCGGGGCACTGAGCCGGGGCGGTGCGCCGCTGGAATTAAAAGACTCGGTCTCACTCACCGATCGAGTGGCACGGCGCACGCGGCCTTTACGGCTGGCCGCCCATCCATCGGCGACGTACCGCCCGGGCCGGCCAGATCGACTCGCCACCGCCGCCCGCGCCCGCGTGCGCGATTGCCAGGGATTGCTAGGCGTTCAACCCACGTCTCGCCGGGGTCCGCGTGCGCTGGGGGGGCGGCGATGCGTCACGACGCACACGGCGAATCACCCCGGGGCGGTGGACCTTTCGCCGCCCCACCGGTGGCGCTGCTCCCCCACCACTGGACACGCGCCCAGGTCGTCCCCGCTCGCACCCGGCCCGGCCGGGTCAGCCACGTACGTGCGTGCATGACCAACGCCCGAACCGCAACTAGCCTACGCTGCGGTGCGTGTGACAAAAGAATCCCCCAATTGTCTCGACGACCCTCGGGTGTTTGCGACGGCCGGGACAGGGACGGTCGCTTGTACTTTCAACGGGCAGTTCATTCCTGATCTAGACTGGCACGTGTTGGGCTGGCACGTCACTCCACTTTACTAGAAGTCTAGAACCAGGAGGGCATTGCGTATCTCGCATGTACTCCTCTCCCACAGGTTGGTTGCTTGATCGACTCAGCCGGTCCACAACTGTTAGATACTCCTACGTGACGTGAACCGAGTGTCGGAGGGGTTCATGCAAGATCGTGCAGCTAGGACGTGACCGTGACACTGCAGAGTAGAGTCAGACTGCGTTGGCGTCGTCTTCTGTACGTGGTCTTCAGGGCCGGCCGGGGGTATCGAGTTCAAGGACGAAATGCAACTCTGTTTCAGTTGCTGCCAGTTTTCAGACGAAAGTCGATTGTCCAGCATCGAAGGATCACTGTCGCTTTACAGAGCCATTGATTGGGTTTGATCACCGTGTGACACTTTGCTTGGCAATCAAGGGCAGCATGATGATTGCAGAGGGCTCCAGTTGACTTGTTTCCTTCTTTTCTTCCCCAAGAAAATCATACGGTAGTGATCTTACCGACGTAAAAAATACAGTACTGCTAGTGTCATGTAAAGAAGACAACTGATTGATCTCCATTATCTACCAAATCTGCAAGATTGTGGCCTGTTAGTTCCACTAGTGAAAGTCGGTCGAGATTAGCTTTAAAAATAAGAGAAAGTGAGAAACGTAGCAAATGAAGGATAATGCGTTTTTAAACAGAGTGATGGAAGCAGGGAGAGGAAATCAATCGTGTCTTTATATCGTGGGTTCTGACACTATTTATAAAAAAATTGCAGTGTGTAGCTAAAAATGTTTGAGTTGAGGGCCATGAGATTATGCATGTGATTATGATAGTACAATATGGTTTATGTGCATTTTTTTAGTACAAGGCGAGTTAGAACTGTCCTAGACTTCTAATTGAATATATGAATGGACGCTTTCAGCTCGAGAGTGGCCTTAAACTTGGATCAAGAATCGTTTCCTGAGGAAAATAACACCGAGTATCCCTGTCTTGATAGGGATCTTGACAGGGAGTTGGCCAACAAAGAAAAATCAGCGATCTCTGCTGCTTCAATATTGAACCTACATGATTGAAAAGGCTTCTTTTACAACAAAAAAGTGCGTTTATATACCCTACACAAAACAAAAATCCCTTGCGCCCTCGTTACCCTACTACATGTCCACTTCACTCAGTCAGCTGCACCCTTTCCTCGTGATGTATCCCCACTTTATAATCCTAACCACTTTGGTTTCTTTCCCCGTCACATCCTTGATTCCGCTAGAGAACGAAAAGAAATGGAAACAGTAATGAATTCGCTTTGCGACCAAGTCGATATTTAAACGCAATTGCTTTCATCCAAAAGATGATAATGACTACAGCTCTCCAGCCGTTTATGCTAGCACAGCTCCTTCTAGCCTCAGCTGTAATGATGGCTAAGATGAGAAATTTATGTATTAGTAGACAAACTGCGATATCATCTGAGATACAGTATATCCTTGTCACACTGAGACTAACATAGACTGTTGATTCAAGCAACAAGTGTCGATTGCTTCCACGCAAACACGCATCTTATCGAACTGATACAGCTAGATCTCATCGCATACCAACCCCAAAATCTACTACTACTAACCCACACTTATACGGATACATCGTTTTTACGACAAGTTTTACACCAGGACATAATGAGCATAATTTTCATTAAGCGTTGCATTAACCTGGAGGTAAGCAACTGCCATATAAATTACCAGTAATCCAGTACTTTACATTTTTATACTGGCTCTTGGGGTCATCCAAACAGTGGATATCTTCTCGGAGTCCGGAGAAGCCTAGTGGCTCAGTGAGTGCAAAAATGGCCGTTTCTGTTTTTTCTAATACTACTCCACTGCATAGGCCAGCCGTGCCGTTGCCGGTGCAGATAGTATAGCCGTCACGCCCACCAGTTAGCCACTGGAATCATTGTACGACCTCCGGTATAATTATGCGTGGCACAGGCGGATCCACCTGGGCCTCGTGCCGTCGTCGTTGAGCTGCGCCCTCCGACCGAACACCGGGAGCGAGCAGAGGAATCTCATCTCCTCGCCGGGATGTGTGAGGAGCTAGCTGCTGCTGCAGCAGCCGCATACATCTTATTCCGTTCATGACCTTGTTTGGATCCTTCAGGCTATTAAATAGAGAAATTTTACGGTATAATATACTGATAGTATAATTGATCCAATAGTGTAGATTGATTACCTACCCACTTAATTAGATTTGTAGTATAATTCTAAAAAGGGTATTCTGGTCTTTTTGTTTTATTTCGTGGTGGCAATTTCGTTAATTCCAACATACAAGCTCGATCCGATTCCCCATTCCCATCGTCGTTCACCCTAGGCGGCGGAGTTGTGCCGGCAGCCACACAGTCGACGCTCGCCGTGGCAGCCACCACAAGCACGTCGCAACAACGCTCAAAATCAATTAAGCATGGTGATTTAGTACTAATCAATTATAGGGAACAATTAACATTTTGCAGTGCCACTGAACCCTAGCTCTACTGGGGACGCTCCCTGTACCATTGCCATCTTAAGGTCAGATTCTACAGATTAAAATTGCAGAGAATATTTGCAAGAACATAAGAGTACATAAGTTAATGCATGCATTTTCGTGTGCACAGATCGCGTGAGACGGTGGTGGGAGACGGCGATTGGCCGCATGAACAGGAAGCAGGCGCCGGTGAATCCAGCCGCCAAAGAGGACTAATTGCACCGCCTTGGCTCATCTCTCCCTCACCTGAATCATGCACACGACAGCGCCAAATTAAAGATAGAGATTGAACCTAAGAATAGATTATTAAAATGTCAATTACATTTTTTTAGCAAATTCCTATTATATCCTTGTAAATACTTACAGTATATACTGCCAGTATATTGTACCGTAAAAGTCATCATTAAATATCCCTCCGAAATCTTGTTATTTAGGAGTATTAAACGTAGATTACCGACAAAACCCATTCCATAACCTCTAGGCTATTTTGCGAGACGAATCTAACGAGATATATTAATCCATGATTTGCTACAGTAATCATCCGCTAATTATGGATTAATATACCTCGTTAGATTCGTCTCGCAAAATAGCCTAGGGATTATGAAATGTGTTTTGTCAGTAATCTACGTTTAATACTTATAAATAACAAGTTTCCGAAGGGCTATTAAATAGCCCTCCGGATCCAGACAGGCCATGTTTGAGCCTCACTCGCGGGACGCAGTTACACGTTGATTGGATCATCGCAGTGCCACTGTTTGAAGCATTCCAGTGTTCAGAAAATTACTAGTTGCTTTGCTTGTTCCATGGCCGTGCTTTGCTCTGATAGTTTAAGCGTACGAAAATTCCAAGTTGGCCATTACTAGCAGATCGTTGGTTCTTTGACGTTTAAATATAGTACTAGTGTATATATCAGTCGGATCATTGCTTATTCACATAGGCATGCAATGGAATCTCCATTGGTTATCGAGAACCACGAAACCTTCTTATTGAAATCTGATTGATTTCGACTCGAGCGTATGGTTTTACCTATGAGAATGTTATATTCCTGCTTGTCATGTCAAATTTATGGCCCCAGAGTCCAAATAATTGAAGCTCGTTCATAATGTCTTCTATGGAGATGATGCAATAGTAATTTTCTTGCCTCGGTTAGATTTCTGTTTAATAGCTTGTCTGACGTATCAAAGGTAAATCAATCCCATTTTGCTCCTTATGCCCCCTTTGGTATGGAGGAATTTTGCGGGATTTTCATGGAAATTGAGATTACTGTAGAGTTCATACGTTCGATCGAGCCAGAGGAGCCTCTACTTGTTTTCACTTCAAAAATTTCAAACTGTACGTTTATCTGCAAACATAAGCCGCCAATGCACACTTTGACCAGGGATGGCAGCTTTAGCGAAATGTTACTGTTAGGGTGACTTTTTGTCAGAGGAAAAAATCTTTGATATTTCCTTTGAATTTTTTCACCTTCTGTAATAACCATCAGAAAAGAATCTTTACAGATTACCAATTGGTAACAAAATTGTCATATGTTAGCCTCTGGTTTCTCTCCCGCCAAAAATATGGAAAAAAAAAAGGTAAGCCGAGGAGCCGACGGCAATGTTGAACGCCCGTAGCTTGTCAACACTGCTCATCTGGTTGCTCAATCACTGCGACGTGATCGCCTTTGCCGCCGCAATCCTTGATGTCCGCCGCTCCGGTGAGCTGCTGCGCGCGCTTGGCCTCCGCGGTCCAGTCCGTCTCCCCGATCACGAGGAGCATGCGCACCACGCAGGTCGCCTGCGCCGCGAGGAGGCCGAGCCAGAGTCCCCTGAAGTCGTAGTGGTACCAGAACGCGAGGATGAGCGCCACCGGTGTGCCGACGAGGTAGAACGACCGGAGGTTGATGCTTGCGGCGTCCTTGGGCCGCGCGCTGCCGCGGAGCACGCCGCACCCGGTCGTCTGGGGGCAGTTGCCGAGCTCGCAGGCGCCCAGGATCGGCAGCACGGACGCGGTGAGCGCGACGATCGCCGGGTCGGCGGTGAACATGGTCGCCCACGCGCCGCGCACGTGGCACGCGAACGCGGACGCCACGCCGCCGAACGCGAACCCGAGCATGAGGCCCACCGTCGCGGCTCGGCAGGCGCGCTCGGGCCGGTTCGCGCCGAGCTCGTTGCTGACGCGGGTGGAGACGCCGAAGCCGAGCGAGGAAGGGAAGATGTAGATGAGCGACGTGGTCTGGATCAGGATGCCCATGGACGCCACGGTGGCCTGCGGGTTCGCGAGCAGCCCGCACAGGAGGATCATGATCTCGTACCACCACCACTCGAGGCAGACGCTGATGCAGCTCGGCAGGGCGAGGCTGACGAGCTCGCCCCAGCCGCGTAAGCAATCCGCTGAGAGCGCGAAGCCGCCGGTGCGCTTGTGCACGCCCTTGAACCATATGTAGCCAAAGAGGAAGAGGACGAGGTTTAGATTGGCCAGAACAGAGGCCAATGCCACCCCTTTGATGCCGAGCCCGAGGACAGAGACGGCCACGTAGTTGATCGGAAGGTGGAGAGCAATGGCGAGCGCCGCGCACACGGTGAGCGGAAGGTTTATGGACTGCGTCCGGAGGTAGATGCGTACGGGGTGGAGGAACGCCTGCAGGAGGAGGTCCGGAAGAGAAGCAAGAATGTAGGTCTCGGCGACCGCCGCGATGGCGGCGTCCTGACCGCAGAGCAGGAGCAGAGGCCGCATGTGCACCCACAGCCCGGCGATGGGGACGGAGGCCGCGACGAGCAGGAGCACGGTGCGCTGCATGGTGACGCCGAGGAGATCGTAATGGCCCGCGCCGAAGGCTTGCCCGCAGATGGGCTCCATACCCATGGCGAGGCCAGACAGCACTGAATATCCTGTTATGTTAGCGAAGCCGATGGCGAGGGACCCGCCAGCGAGCGCCAGACCACCTAGGCGGCCGAGGAAAAGCATCGAAATCATTGACCGGAGGTAAAGCAGCAGCCCTGTCAAGATCATGGGCAGCGCGAGCCCCAGTATCGACCGGGCCTCGGCGCCCGCCGCGCCGGCCGACATGGACGGCATCATCGGGAACGGGACGGACCAGGCTTCCTTCACCGCTCTAGCAAACCGTCCAGGCGGCTTGCACGTGAGCACCGGCGGCGGCTCCTCCTCCTCCGCCACCGGGGGAACAACGACGACGACGAACACCGCCTCCCCACCATCCCCCTTGTGGAGCAAGGACGCCGTGAGGTCGTCGACCGCGCCACGGCCATCTCGGCGCGGCGACGACATAGCCGAAACAGGTGGAACAACGCAACGCGCCGCGCGGGGGCGTTACGTTTCGGCTCGGAAACGCACGCGCGTGGGCGTGGGGCGCTTCTTGTCTCCGGTTCGGAGGCTAGCTCGCGATGGACGATTTGGCGCTCCACTCCCCAGGCCGGGGGAGGAGCAGAGGAATGGTTGACAAAAAACAGCTTGTTTGGTTGGTGCGAGGGGGATACGCCGTGCTCAGGGGGCTTTATATAGGATGCCGATATGGGCCCACCAATTCTATTTCTATTTCTTTTCTAGTAGTTTCTATCATTCTAGTATCAAACACTATACATCCTTAGTTTTCAACATTCAACGATCGGAACTTATTAGTGCGTTTGTTGCCGTCTTTTCTTAAGCACACGCTTGGCCATCCACTGCTACCTCCGTCCTAAAATAAACGAAACTGCAGTAGGTATCCGTGTCCAATATTTAACCGTCCGTCTTATTTAAAAAAGTTTATGAAAAAAATAAATAAAAATCACACATAAAGTATTGTTCATATTTTATCATGTAATATCAACAAATATAATAATCATAAAAAATTTCAAATAAAACAAACGGTCAAACGTTGGATATAAACAGTATAAAACTATACCTATTTTAGAACGAAGGGAATACTGCAACGTAATTGTGTTCCATTCCCTCACCGGGATAGATGACTTATTAGTGTTTTACCAAACCACCGCAAAGAGCATATGTGTACTGTGTAGTCATCATGCTATCTGTTGTTCCAGTATTGTGGGGTATTAAGACTGTGTTCTTTGCTCAAGTTCCCAACCCCTCTCCCTCGTGTTTTTATGCACGCGCTTCTAAAACTACTAAACGATGTGTTTTTTAAAAAAAGTTTCTATATGAAAGTTGCTAAAAAATCAAATCAATTAATTTTTGAAAAAAAAACTAAAACTTAATTAATCACGCGCTAATGGACTGCTCCGTTTTCTGTGCGTACTGTTCTGTTCTGGTTGGGAACCAGAGATGCCGAACACAGCCTAACTCCAAACAAATTTGTTTAATTTGGAATAGGTTCAATCAAACCTTAAAAATATAGTTTGGTTAGAAAAAGCAATGGCCAGAGGGGCATATAGCTAGGACACCGCGTGAGTATCCTAAATAACACACAAAAATGAATGAAGATATATCGGACCTGTTTGAGAGATCAGCTTGTGGCACTACGCAAGATGTACTACTAATCCTTAATCTCACAACGCAGATAGAAAAGTAAACGACTAGATTTGCATACGGGCATATCAATACCGTGTGAATGTCCTAAATGATAAATAAAAGTAAATGGAAATAAATATACTCTATAGTTTTAGTCCAAAAATGGGGATATATATATATATATATATATATATATATATATATATATATATATATATATATATATATATATAGTAAATTTGTTTGGTGCTCCATGGTGCCCGGGCACCATTGTTGAAATTGAGTATATACCCAATTCAAATGAGCATGAAACTTTTTCAATTATTTAGGTATTAATATTAACTACTTTACTAACTAGTTGAAAGCAAGTTTGAACTGAATTTGAACTTGTTTTGTGTTAGATTTTGATTCTAGGTATATAGCATCCATACATATAATTAGTTAGGTATGTAATCATGGATTGTGAAATAAAGTTAAATTTGAGTTGTTTTGTTGATAGTTATAGGTATGAATCGAATTCTTATAACTAGGTATATACTCACAATTTGAAATTTTTGAAAAATTTGAGTGATTTTGTGCATTTGAAACCATGGTGCCCCATATGAGTGTCCTATATATATATATATATATATATATATATATATATATATATATATATATATATATATATATATATATATATATATATAGAGAGAGAGAGAGAGAGAGAGAGAGGACACATTGTGAATATCCTAAAATAACACACAAAAATAAATGACAAACAAAAAGGAACAAGCATACAAATACTTTAGTTTGTCGTGTTTGACATAGCTCCAACTCTAAATTTTGTTGCAGCTACGTATATCTAGCTTAAAAAATTCTTGTAGTTGAAGCTGATGATAGCTTAAAAATATCATGACGAAACACTGTTCATAGTTTAAACAAAATGAGAGGTTTAACCGATTGAGTTATTTTAGTTTTATATGTAAACTCCATTTTCTACATGAATAATCTACAAGTTGGAGTCATGTCAAACAGTACCAAATCCTACAAT